TACGATGAATCCGGACGAGATATAGAAGTCGTTTTATTTTCGAAGGAAAATTGGCTGGCACTGCACGGCGAGCGCACAGAGGCGAAGTGTCCATTTGATCGAGGGCGAATAAGATTTATGGCATTTCGGAGCCGCATACTATTCCGTATTCGACGCTTTCCCTTCGTAGCGGGTCGTTATCGCGCTGGTACTTAGTTTTCATTTTTGTAGCCTGGCTGCGGCTTTTGCTGACACTGCCGCGTCTGACTTATGGCTGACCTATTCCACTGATTTCCAGCCCATGATCTTTCTCAAGCCGTAGAGTCATTTTCTCGTAGAATAGAACACCTAGATACGTCTTGATCGTTCTCTCTGTGTCGCTCGCTTTAACGATAATTGGCTTCTATTCGGAAAATTTGTCGTTTGTCTATAGATAAACCTAACTAATTTATCGATTCATCTCACGAGCTGTGTTGACACTTACTGTTCTTAAATACGAGAGAAGTTTCGACTTTCCTATATATTTCTCAACTCGTAAAGCACGTGAGTTCGTGGATTTGTTTGCAACTTGTATCCACGTTGCAAATTGCAGAATTTATCACTGTGTTTGCCTCGCCTCTGACAAAGTTATATTGGTACACGTCGAGTAAAGAAATCGACGAAAAGTTTCAACGAAAGGGCAGATTCTGCGGCGGTTTCGTGTCGCGCGGACGTAATAACGACCGGTGACGTTGTAAATCTGAAACGGTACACGTGTTCCACCAGTCGGTTGCCACTGCATCCTGGGAAATGAAGCGGATGGGATGCGGGGCTTACTTTAAAAGCAAGGACAGCGGATTTTACGTTTTTATCGCGTGCAGACGATCTTAAGCACGACTCGCTTCGGGGAGTTCTTTCCCGTGTTCGTGTGAAAATCTATCGGGATGCACTTAAAATGATTCTTGCGTCCCTGCTGCAATAAATCCTATCCATTTCGGGGAGCGCGGGGAGAGGGAGGTGGGGTGGGGGAGGAGAAGAGAGGTGATTGTTCCCCGCCACACTTAGAGGTCTAGGAAAATATTTCACGCGAGAGGTATTCTCAAACTGGGAGCGCGTGTTTGAAAATTCCGTCACGTTTTGCTTTCGAAACGCGCGGATATTTTACAACGTTGAGAGAGTTCCACGAAAAAGAGCAGAGATGCCTCGGCATGGACCTTTTAACAATGTCGCACGACAAACTTTAATCCTTCACTTTCGAAAGTTGGTTCCCCACTTTGATTTTCACTACCTGCCATGCCGGAACGACTCGCCCACTTGCACACTTGGTTGGTTAGTTTTTCGTGTTTTCGAGGAGCTGAAGCTTCGCGTAAGTTTCTGTAAAAACACGTTTCTCTCCCTTATTCCGGAACTGCGATTACTGCAGTTAACATCTTGATGTTCTTCACGTGCCCAGTACGTCGATTCATACGTTACACGTTATTACAACTTATTGTTTATAAGTGTTATCCCTTTGTTTGGTCAATCAACTCCGTTGTTTGTATAATACACCGCATTTTACACCTTGTGTGACTAATCGACATCGAAGAAGAAACTACGCTCACTTTTAATTAACTGACTTATCTCGCTTAATTAATTGGGCGAAACGCAAATTACAGGTACAATCAGTTTCAAGAATATAAACCGTCACCGTGATAATTACAGAATGTTAAGCGTGTATTGTTGCTCTTGGGAGGCAGGGAATTAAATTAATTAACACGTCCGCTGCTGCTGGAAAATTTCTACTCAACTTCTTTTTCCCTCTTTCATTAAAAATATCTTTCTTTTCTTTTCAAATAACAATATTTCTTCAACGCGTTGTCTACCGTTTAATAATTATACAAATTATTACGTAAAAATTAATAATTGTCGTTATCACGTTATTAATTAACGATGTTTAATCAAATTAATAGAGATGAAAATACAGCGGCTGCCTGATTAACAATCAATGTTGATCAATTTGTTTTTACATCATTATTACATATCATTACAATGTACTAAAAGTATTTGCGCACTCTCTTCATTTTCCAATGAGGCGTCTTTTCATTGAATTTCCACCAGCTTTTTCAATCGTACGAAAGTGCCGTCGATGCGAAATTAAATTTAAAATACGTGGTGCGCAAATATTTCCCGCAGTCACTACATATTATATCGATTAGGGCTGAAAACAATTCCAAGCCTGTAACGAGTTTTCGATTCGATTCGATTAGATTCAACG